ATCAGGGTTTTCAACCATTGGAAATGATGATCAAATCATTAGCATGGAGGGCAGATGAGGGGGCGTCAAGAGCAGAAAGAGAGAGAGAGTGAAAGAGTAAGTCATTAGCTCATTACAGCAGTACTTCTCTCAAATTCTTCGAATGGTTAGGGAGTGTGTTAGTTAGACACAGTAAAAAAAATCTCTATTACGGACAAATACATGGACAAAAGAGCAAATGATCTAATTGAGCATTTAACATTTAACCATTACTGTTTTTAGGAAGATTAACTCACGACTAGATGAATATGGACTTGAAGAAGTGAACTGCTTTATTGTTACTTAAAGAATCCCTGGAAGAAGATCTGGAGTGTGTGGACCAAGAGCTTGAAGGTAAAATCTTTGCCTACTAGTGGGACTGAGCAACATGACAACTGAACTTTGAAGAGATCACCCAAAAATGAAAATGTTGCCATAGTTTACTCACTTACTTTACTTACTTTGTTCTTTCTTCTGTGGAACCCAAGGGATGATATTTTGAAGATGTTTCTGTGCAATGAAAGTCAGAGGGGTCCAAAATTGTTGGACAAAAACAGACATTTCTCAAAATATGTCCCACAGAAGAAAGAATGTCAAACTTCATTTGGAAACATTTGGAATGACATTGTGATAATAATTAAAGAATATTTTTTTGATAGAGCAATCCCTTCAACACATTCTGTTCATACCAAAGATATGCTGCTGATTTTTAAAATTTTTATTCTATTTTATTTTATTGACTTGTATCAAAGTTTTCTTAATATCTTCTCTCAGAATGCAGGCTGTGCCTGGTTTTAGGTGCAAAGAGCAGGGTGAGGGCTCTTTGCAGGAACTCATGCCAAGAATGGTATGGGTAACAGGAGCAGGAGGACCAAGTTCCAATGCTGGGGGTCTCCAGGGGCCTTACAGATCTTCAAAACCCCCTCGTGAGCTTAGTGTGGAAGAGCAACAGGAGCTACGGAGAAAGATCAACAGTCGTGAGAGAAAGAGAATGCAAGACCTTAACGTGGCCATGGATGCTTTACGAGAGGTCATGGTGCCCTACTCTTCTCCCACCGGTGTAAGTGGAGCACTGCAGCACCCTTACTTCCCTCCAGGAGCCCCTCCGACTGGGCGCCGCCTGTCTAAGATCTCCACGCTGGTGCTGGCCCGTAACAACATCCTGCTCCTAGGCTCCTCCTTGCAGGAGATGAGGCGTCTGCTGGGCGAGGTCAGCATCGGGATGGGCGTCAGCGGGACTGTACCACGTCTGCTGCTGACAGGGGGGTGGCCATTTCTTACCGGGCCAGGACAGCTTCTGTTTTCCCCTCCTGAGCAGCAAATGGGTGCAGCAAAGTGCCCTCTTCTGCCTCAGGGTACCCAGGAGGAGCCCTTGGCATGGGGGTCAGGCAGCATGTCGGAGAGCCCGGTGTGCCAGTGTGGGGTGTGCTGGACCCCATGGGTGGTGCATGTTAATCCCGCCACACGCTTCCCAAAATAATTCCAACATGACTTGGAGAAAGGCTAAAAAAGAACAATACAACAACATGCAGTTTTTAATGTCTGTGAAGGGTGGGGTATCTGGATAATTTTTTGGTAACACTTTACAAAAAGGTTCAATTTGTTAACCTTTAGGAATAATTCACCCAAAAACGAAATTTCTTTCGTAATTTCCTCACCATCTTGACATTTCCAAACCTGTTTGACTTTCCTCTGTGGAAGACAAATGAAGATATCAAAATTTTTATGTTCCACAGAAGAAAGAAAGTCACATGGTTTTGAAATGCCATGATGGTTGATAAACAATGACAAAATTTTTTTGGTAAACTGTCCCTAAGTATCCAAAACAAACACTAAGCAAAACTTTTACAGCATTTATTACATTTTGTTTCATGTCAATTTCCACATATACTAATACATTTTTAACATTTCAACCTGAATGTGCAAATTTGCATTTGGCTAACTAAACCTTTTTAAGTGTTACCACTTTTTCCTTTTGCAAAACGCTCCTATATATGTTTCCCATACAATTGTTATCTTCTTTGTGTTTGCTAAGAATTAAACTAGTAATACTGAAAGAGAGTGTGTGTGTGGGTCAGTAGTTTGAAACTAGTGCAAAAGTTCATCTCTCAGCACATTTCCTGTTTTTACATCTCGTTCTCTGTAGTAAGCATGTGCATGTGTGTGTGTGCTCGGCTGCATCCAAACGGATAGAAATAATTAATTGTGCACCCCTTTTGCAGCATAAGGACGGAGGTTTTCTTTCACCACAGCCTTCCCTGAACCTACCCCATTCAACTCCCCAAACAAATCCCACATCAAACCCGGCAGCCCCATAATAATTAGCCCACACTCTTTCTCCAGCTTCACCATCTTTAATCCACTCCCTCGTTCGGTGCTTGTCGAGGTAAATGCGTTTACACGGGCCGGTGTGGCGCCATTCATTGCTCTCTGTGAACCGCATATTCAAACGCCCAGAAAATGTGTTTCCACCAAAGGAGTTCACTTACCTAAATTACAAACAACACCCTCTCCAACACCCAAACTCTGACATCCACCCCTCCGAAGACTTGGCGGTTGAAAAAAAGAAGCAATTCTTTCAATCTCAGGGCACTGTGAAAGCCTTGAAAGGAGGGAAAAGCAATTCCATCTTGTGGATAGGGGTGCGTGAATGAGAATGAAGATTATAATCATAAGAATAATGATAAAATACGAGGAATAATCGGTCCCACTGCAAAAGGGGATTAGTCCGGCCAGGCGCGTGAAAGAGGGTGAGAGGCTGAATGGAAGGAGTCTGTTGCCCATCGCCCGGGACAAAAGGAGAGGTAGATGCCATTAA